CATCTAACCTTATTGTGCTGCTGGCAGATGCTGTACACTGTTCTAGGACCAACAAACCTCTCATGTAGCTTTGCACCATACTGCAAGTCTGGATATGGAGTAAACAATGAATGTATCCTATTAGATGGATTGATTGACAGGGTTAGAACAACAGAACAAGACTATATAGACGAACTAACTAAGTTGCGAGTATGAAGTAAGTCTCTTCATTCAACCCTGGCACTGCTAGACGGAAAGCAACCTTTTTAAATTTGACTAAAAACACAACAACCATGGCAATTATGTACGCACAGATTACAGTAAAACTAAACAGCTGTTTGGCTGATACCAAACTTGTATGTCACCGCAGTACTTGACTGAGGGCACAGAATCAATCAAATCAAGAACCAGCTAACACGAAATCTGTTTACAGAAACAAAGACACATGCATATTTGCGTAAGCAGCACCACATGCATGCCGAGGTATTTCCCTGTAATGCAATTCTCGAACGCACGACATGAGCCAAGCGAGTGATCAGTCTGCCAGAAGTTCTCCAGGGCAGACCAATTTGGGGATCAGAGCCGAGCGAGCTTTAGATTGGTCTCGGCGGACGTACTGTAATGGGACACATATGCTCCTATACCCCCGAAATCTAGAATAACAGCCTGGAGGAATGGTGCATTCCATGGAACAAAGTCTGGATAACCCACATTCAACAAACACAACACGAGAACAAGGGTAATGATGCTGAAAATTCCTTGCCAAGTACTTTGGAAGCTTTTGTCAGGCCAGTGATCACGACAACTGCAAAAACAACTGAATGGGAGTGTGTCTCACTGAGATGCAGGAAATAAAAAAGGTAGATCCTTAACTAAACACTCTAGGCCTCTTAGGCTATGTTTATATGACAATTATGTAGCTAATGTACATGTAGCAGACAAGTTTTTCCCATGCTGTAGCAAGTGGGACAGAGCCGAGAGCCTTGAGCGTACTAGGCATGGTGGCGTGAGTGCTAACTGCTGACACCTGGACCCGCCACCTGTCTCAAATCTCATGGAAGATCTCTGGATGATAAAAGAAGGGGATACCGCAATGGAAGATGAGAGAGGACCATTTTATGTTTTACTTTCCCTTTCAGTTTGAAGGTATTCCAGCCAACTGAACCCCGCCTGGAATGGGATGGTGTCATTGCTATTATAGACTCTCGTTTCAAAGTGTTTACATAGACATGACAATTCAGCACTTTCAAAAAGTACTACTTTGCAACCCATTTTCAGATTTATGCATTTTCAGTGCCAAAAAATGCTGTTGTGTACAAGAACAGAAAATACGCATGAAAGCTTTCCAGTTTTTTGCTAAAAACATTGTTGTTTAAATGGCCCCTTAGAGTTAAAGTGTTCTGGAATAAATCAAATTTGAACTGTATCAAACCACAGGATATAAAATTCACAAAGTCAAACTATCATGAAACTCTGGGGTAGAGGTCTACATTCAGGACCACACCAGATTTCACACCAGAGTTAGCGGTCGGTAACTGATGTATTTTGAACGGGAGCGAGCGTTCTAACAATATCGCTCCCGACTCCCGAGTGAGCGAGCACGCATATGTATGTGTGTGAATGAGAGAGCATCACGCTGCGTTTAGCTTGTTTGTTGCTGTCTATGTGTGTGTGTATGTATGTGTGTGAATGAGAAAGAGTGCTTGTTGCTGTGTGTGTGTAAACGAGAGAGTGATGCTGTCTGTGGCACTTGCTTGGTGTTGTGTGTTTATATAGACAACTTGTTATAGGCTGTCTGGACCCCATATAGCTGAGTGGTTTTCAGTTTTCACATCCAAGTACTGATGAGGCTCAGCCCTCCGAAGCCTCATTGAGTAACCGGTCTTGGGCTGCAGAGTGATATGGCTGTGCACATATCAAAGACTATGATGTCTGAACTCAAAGTACTACAACCATCCAACTTCTTTGAAAGTTAAGCAACCTAAACTGGAACTATCATGAACTATAATGAACATTAACAGTTACAAAGTCTGAACTGGAATTGGTCATCACAGATTATGTTCTCAGAAATGAAATTATCGTTAAAGGTCATGCATTTACTGCAAGATAAGTCATCTCTACAGCTTGCTTGTGCAATATTTATTCCCTGCAGTCTTAAATCGCTTAATCCATATATACCCACTCTTAGTTTTACAGTCTTTTCTAATCCCAATCTGGCACTTCTACCATGCTTTCTCAATATCATCTCTGTTATCCCTAGGGGAGCTTGTTTGTTTGACACACATTAGCAGGGTTTTAAGAAAGATTCTGTCTGTCTCACTATCAACTGTAACACAGATTATAGTGCCAGTAACATCATCATCAACAACAACAACAACCTCTTATGTTTACATCAGTAGTGCTCAAGCCATGTGCTCTGATCTACATTTATACATGCCAGATGTTGCGCAAGACTTTTCCTATGGTTATGCCTGGAAGTCATACACATACTTGCATAAAAACAACTTTAATTTAGACCCCGACAGTAGTCACAAGCTCTACTCTTCCTCTGAGCTTGACTTGTCTCCTCTCGCTTCCTCTTTTCTGCGTTTTCAGAGAGCGGCGGAGCAAAAGCTCTCCAAAAGACTCATGCCGGGCAACAGAAGTGTGGCATTAAACTTGACATCTCCTCCGCACTGTGCAACAAACAGAATTCGTTTCACAACTTAGTTCCTCTACAAAACCTGGATGTGAACCAACTAAAAAAAAAAAAAAACTTCTGGGTCTGACTTCCCACTGCTCTCAGCCAAAGATTTACTGCTCCTGGAAACAGTCAAAAGTAGCTCAGATCTGCATTAAAAGCAAACCCCCTGCCAGTAGCCACTTGAAGATGGGTCAAAAACATATGGAAGCAAATAAGCACCATCTCACCATTTTATAAACTCACAGAACTTCAATGGGCTTTAAAGAGGATTACGGGTCATCTGAGATTTGCTGTCTGGTATATTTAGGTTTAGAGACATAAACCCACCCCTCGTAAACTTAACAATCTCTTCTTATGAGCCTGACAGCCCATGATTTGCTGCTAACACATTTATCATTATGTACTTCTACACGAACATTTTTGTTTTTAAATCATCCTTACCCAGTGTCTACACTTTTTCTTTCCAAAAGTTTGAGGGATAAACATGTCTTTGTACTCATATATTTGAATCCTCTAACACTCATCAATGCAAACATGTATTGGTTCGCCATCTTTTATGGCCAGTTTCCACTGAGTGGTATGGTACAGTACGGTTCAGTATGCTTTTTCGGTTCAGTACCATTTTTAAATGCACTGCCGAGACATTACACCATAACAATATATACATATAATAACGAGCCATGGTTTACCCCGAGCTCAAACAAACCTTGCTGTCGTCTTGATGTCCAGTTGCTGTTTACAAGGCCGTCTTAAGCGCAAATGGTTTCACTTTCGAGAACTTGCGTGCGCGTATATATTTGAAATAACGAACGTGAGCTGATGATAATAATGTGCGCATGATTATTGAAGTGCTTCTGACATCTGATCCTTTCAGAAACTGACAAATGCAAGAGTGATGCGTGAAAAAAACAAAGGAGAAGCCCAAAAAAACAAAGGAGCGAAAGAGTCTTTCAGCAACCTAAAACATAAATGAACTGCCATGTTTAACTATTATCATCGCCTTTTGCACAATTATGTAACTCGGAATGACGGAATTACTTTCTAGCAAGTGGTTACATGTGCTGGTTAAGATTAAAGATGCAGATGAGAAGTTTGCCATATGTTTTATGTTGTTTTTGAACCCAAATAAGGCCTTTTTTCTGTAATTGGTAACATATCGGAAAATGTGAGGGGCTGTACCATTGGTACCCTTTTGGCAAAGAAGATGTAAGCCTGATAAAGGTGACCCATACTGAACCGTACCGTACCACCCAGAGGAAATGAGGCATTAGTAACTTGTTGTTGTTCTTGTTCCATCTGAGTTGCTTTTTGGTTACTGAATCAACAATCTAGTTCAATGTTGACATGTTGTGAAGAAGTGTGCTTTTTAAAAAACAATAAAATCGAGATGCGTGCTTTCAATACACACATTGTGCTGCTGGATGAAATTCACATCATGAACATTGTACACTTACCCCAGTGCAAGTGTAAAAACTAAAGTATACTTTGGACTTAAGAAAGTAGATGGATAAAAGATGAATATCTCTTTGGCTCTCAAGGCCAAAACACTTCAACATCCAAGAAAAGAAAAAAAAAAAAACGAGAAAAGCACAACTGCATCATTCCTGCAAGAGGAATGTTGCTCTTGCCAATACAGTACAGCTCCTAGCTCATAGTGGCTTTTGGAAACACCTTATCAGGCTTTCAGAAGCAAAACATTATCAACCAAACTACACACTGGAATGAGAACAGAGCTTCTTAGAATGTACAATGTTTAGTAGTTATGAGATTTTGTATAGTACAAAATGCAATATTAGGTTTCTTGAATGTTAATTGACATCTCTGAAATGTACTTAGGCATGGGCCGTTATACGTTTCGGATGGTATGATAACCTTGAATTAAAATATCACCGTTTCACGGTATTGTGATTACTGCTCTAAAATAAGTTCTTTTTAAATGTCAGGGTAAAAAAAAAAAAACACATTTCTACTCCACTGAATTTTATTTTAGGAAACATTTATAATATTTTGGAGCAGTAAACATGTCAGGGGAAATATTTAAAATAAATCACTGACTTCTGATGTCTTCATTGATTTCCAAAACACAGATTTCTTTACAACACATTAAAAAAAAAAAAACTTACACATACCTTAGGAACGGTGTATCAGAAAATTTGAGTGGTTTTAAAACCTTGACTTTCCCAAACCGCGGTAAACCTTGAAACCAGTTATCATCCCATCCCTAGATGCACTCCCATTTTAAATTCCATTTTATAAATTAAATAAGTAAAACAACACTTATATACACTTATATAGTATACACTTATATAGTACCCACAATAAATATTCATGCTCTTACCTTTAGGTGCAGTAGGCGAGAAAAGCTTCTCTGATCCTACATCGGATGCCTGCAAAACAGAAGAGAAACACAGTTAGACCATGTTCAAGAAATGAAGCTTTTTTGAGGGTAAACACAGCGCCATTGGGCCACAAAACCCTATAACCAACAACTACTTACAAACAAACAAAGCCAACATAGACAATACAGTAAAACATTGTGCAAAAGTAGAGCCAGCTTGTGCAATTTTCCACATCCCTACACTTAATGATTCGACAAAAGCGCAGTGATGGATGGTGACATCACAAATCCTATCCGCAGATTAGAATGGGGGGAAAGTAATCTTCCGACAAAGTGACTTAAGTGCTATGCAGACTAAACATGAGTGTGCTTTTCCTTCCTCTCCATGTACCCAGAGCGTGTAGTTTCTGGCAAGCGACGAGAAAAAGAAAACATGCCATGCTCTTACAAAAACACACAGTCATTGACAGACAGGACATGGGGCTCTTAACGAAGAGAAAGAACTCTTAAATTCTTCACACACTATACACAGGGGTAGCAAAGAATGCCAGTGCACACATTCCAGCTGTTTCTATGAACAGAGCAGTCTATCACTACATACCGCACACTATGGACTGAATTCAGAAAGAGAGAGAGAGAAGTTGTGTTAAGTTTGTGGTTCCATCCATCCATCCACTGTAGATCCATTCATCCACTATCTATTCATCCATCTGTTGCCTTTATTCATTCACCTTGTTACATGTGTACTCACTTCTACTAAACCTCCATCTATCCTTCCTTCTCAATAATCCATCCATCCATCCATCCATCCATCCATCCATCCATCCACTGTAAATCTTACCATCCACCATCTATTCATCCATATCCTGCCTTTTTTCATTCACCAATCTATTGCTTCATGTGTATTCACTTCTATTAAACCTCCATCTATCCTTCCTTTTCCATAATCCATCCATCCATCCATCCATCCAACTAGCATAAATTGAATAGTAAATGGTGATCTGAACTTTCAATTGGTAATATTATTTTACTGCTGATTTGCATTTAACACAACTAAAATAACCCTCTGTAAATAGTTGTATATATTTAACCAGCATTAAAATAAATACCTACATTAATAAATAAAATGTATTAGGCTTTAAATTAATATTAAGCTATTTTAAAGGTCCATATTATTGCTTTTGATTTAGATTTATATGCATCCAAGGTCAGAATCCTATGATTTCTGTCATTTAGGTGCACCAATTTTTAAAACATTACAACAAACACATTGACAGTTGACCTTCTTTAACCATCTTTATCCTGCATTAAACATGTTGTGGAATGTTGTTATCTGTATCACAATGCTAAATACCAACTAAAAGGTAAAAAAAAAAAAAAAAAAAAAAAAAAGAGTAAATAATAAAAAAAAAACATTTATTGTAATAAGGCATAGCTCAGCTGAAAATGAAATGTTACTATTTAGTCTATATACTCTATACCAGGGACTCTCAAAGTCCAGACTCTGGACCGTGGGGGTATTTAATCCAGACCTAACTCCATTACGTATTGCAAGACCATGCATTAAGGATTTAACTTGTGGACTTCCTTCATTGATAAATGCATAAATCTTGTAAATTCATTAATTTATTCATTCATATTCTTTTTGGCTTAGTCCCTTTATCAATCCGTGGGGTTGCCACAGCGGAATAAACTGCCAGCTTATCCAGCACGTTTCACGCAGCGGATGCCCTTCCAGCCGCAACCCATCTCTGGGAAACATCCATACACACCCATTCATACTCGTACACTACGGACAATTTAGCCTACCCGATTCACCTGTACTGCATTTTCTTTGGGCTGTGGGGGAAACCGGAGCCCCCGGAGGAAACCCACGCGTACGCAGGGAGAACCTACAAACTCCACACAGAAATGCCAACTGACCCAGCAGAGGCTTGAACCAGCGACCTACTTGCTGTGAGGCGACAGCACTACCTACTGCGCCACTGCGTCGCCAACCTTGTAAATCAACAGTTTAATTATTTGTGTTAAAAAAAATAAATAAATAAATAAATAAAAATCAAAGGCAAAATATTCAAAGTTTTCCTACGTGACTCAGAGTGATCATACGAGGCTTCACGTGATCTAACAGGTGAATCACACGCGCACCTGCTTTAACGTACCGAAGCAAAGTGATCATTTGAATGTATAAAGAAGACGGTCTTGCAGAAAAAAAAAAAAACATACTAAAAAATAGACAATTCAAAGTTGAATGGGCAGATAAGTATGCGTTTATGTTGTCACAAGCCAGCACAAAGCCATTCTGCTTGATTTGTAAAGAAACAATTGGAGTTGTAAAGAGTGCAATTGTGATACGTCACTACCAAACGAAACATGGCCAATTTTAAATCGCAGTCTCCACAAAATATAGATATAAGGACCGCAAAACTATTACACCTACAGTTTTTACTACACACCTTTTTGTATTTTTCAGCTTTTTTTGGAGACAGGTGCCATGATTTTTAATGCTCACCTCTAAACCTACTCCTCACAGTGACATCACTAGCTCTATTGAGTGCATTGTGTCTGACGTTGCATCTCTGAGATATGCAGTATTGTACAAAAATGCACTTATGTTAGTGGATTTGCCACATTTGCATTGCATTTAATGTGTTTTGAATGCGAATGCCACTTTATTAAACGAAAGATAAATAGTGTTGACTTGTTTATAATAAACATCCATGACATGCATCACAAGTTATGTAATTTCAATTATTCCAGATCTTTGACCTTAATATAAATTCAGGTTTGGACTTTTTAATGTAGACATTGAGAACCCCTGGTTTATACACTCTATAATTTTATTTTAAAAAGCTGAAAACATTGACTTTCAAAGTACTATGGAAGTCAATATTTACAGATTCTCAGCTTTCTTCAAAAAAAATCTTTTTTTTTTTGTTCAGCAGTCTAATTTGTAACCAGACAAGGCTAAGTAAATGAATTTTCAGTTTTGGATGAACTATCCCTGTAGTGCACTAATTTCTTATGCAAACGGACAACAGTGAATCTTGCGTAGCCCAACGTTCTAGCTCCATTAATAACTCGCTCTTTATAATGTGTACTCAGTCTAATATGCGAAACCTCCGGTGAGACCAGACCCACGACGTGGCATAATTTGGGAGACCTCCGCTGACGTGAATCCTGGACTCCATTAATAAAGAGCTCTATTTCAGCCCCATAATTCACCACGTCAGGGGACTAATTTTTCAGCAAGCAGGCTTTTTCGCTACACAAGCGCTCTCTGTGTCTGGAGCGCTGGAACACTTTAACTCACACACCCGTAGGATTACATGAAAGAAAAGAGGTTCAGATGAAACTGGGCCCGTAGCATATGCAGAAAGCGTCTGGTTTGGGCGAAGACTGTCGTTAACGTTCGTTCATGCCTTTAATGTTGAAACGACTTTCAATACAATGATCCGTCTATGAAAGGTATTCTTATGAGAGCTTAACACAAGAAAGAAACTACTAGAGCGTAAAGAGAGAGAGAAAAAGAGAAATTTATGGCGGCTCCGTTTCAGTGTTTGTATTTTTTGCCAGCGAGCTGTTCTTTAAACTGTGTCCCTATAGGCCGGAGGTCAAAAGTCACTCATAACAAATTCTCCGCACTTGATGCAGGAGGCCCGGATGGTGATTAAAGGACAGGGTGATCGAAATAAGCAGGAAAGGAGAATAGAGAGAGAAAACAAAGCAAAGACCCTGGCCTGCTGAAGGAAGCAGAGGGGCTATAACCATTTCAAAACGGAGGAAATTGAAGCCACATTGCTGGGAGCCAAACAGCGTTGGCGGGGCCACAGGAGGCCTGACCCGAGAGGACGTGTGATACTGGATCTGGAGGCAGAGAGGCCGGGTCTGGGACTCTGAGATACCAAAACAGCCCTCAGTTCACTTCTCCCATTGCACTCATTAATAACTACGGGCTATGATGCAGCCTGCTCTGGACCACAACCAGACTCTCACAGGAGTCACTGAGGAAAAACACAGAGATGGACGGCCAGAAGGGAGGGAGGGAGTTGGGAAAATAAAAAAAGGTCACGGTCATGTGTTGAGACCTGCTGCCTACAGCTGTAAAGTGCCACTGAAAGAAGGAACGGGAAAGGGAAGATTCATTCCAGTCAAAGGGTGCTAAGCTGTAAAAATAAACAATCACGACAGTCGGTTGAGTGAGCGCAGACTACACCAAACAACTGAGCATTTTACTGCTTCTTCTGATGCTGGATAACAAGACTGATTTTACAAGCTGGACAAAGCTGAATGGATAAAAAAAAGAGAAGGAAAAGGATTTTTTATGCAGTTTGGTTGTGCATTTACATCCTTGAAAATCAACTTAACATGGCCTATACACTGAAAAAAGTGTTGCATACAAAACTGTTGCAAACAATTTATTTGTGTTGAATTTAAACAAACAAATTAAGTTTAATAATGTTCAACTTAATTTGTTTGTTTAAATTCAGCGCAAATAAATTGTTTACAACAACTTAACGTAAAAAAATTTAGTAAATCCAAGGAATCATCTTTGAATGATTTTTTTCAGTGTAGGAGCAACTTTTTTATGTGGTCTATAGACCATTTTGAGGGATGTAAACAAAAACAATGGTCCCAAAGTATTTCCTGTTTTACATTTTTAATTTCTATAGCCTCCGAGAATCCTAAAAGAGCCACATATTGATAAATAATGCTATGATAGCTGTATTAATGTTAAGTTATGATTGAGTTGCCTCTGGTTACAGTTATGAAATAGTTTGATAACAAGCAGGAAATGTGGGCCAACAACATGACCACATTGAAATGGTTTATAGCAGAGATGCCCAAACTAGGGCCAGCGTGTTAACCTTTGATTTAGCCCACCATCCTATCTGAGAAGAGAGTGATGGGAGGGTTGGAGGTGAACGCCTTTAACTGAGATCATCATTTCTAATATAACATAGCCTTTTTTGGTTGACTTAAACTCCAAAACTTGAAACTAAAATTAAATGTTTCAATTAAATGTAAGTTAATCAAATTTTCAAAAAT